GAGGGGGGATGAGTCTCTGGAGCCAAGGCCCCAGCGCCAGGCCCCGAGGGAATGGCCTCAAGCTGCCCAGGGCAGGGTCAGGCTGGCTCTGAGGAAGGATTTCTGTGCAGAAGGGGCTGTTGGGCGTTGGAATGGGCTGCCCAGGGCAGGGGGGAGTCCCCGGGATCCCTGGGGGGGTTGAAGAGTCGGGCTGAGCCAGCGCTGAGGGATCTGGGGGAGTTGGGAAGGGTCAGGGGGAGGGTCATGGTTGGGCTGGAGGAGCTTTTCCAACGTGGATGATTTGGGGATTCGGGGTGTACCCCGAAATGTCAGGGCAGTGTTCTGTCTCCTTCCCCCACCTCTGGCTCTGGGCTGGGGTGTCTCCTCCAGCCTCGGGGGGTCACTCTGGAGGCCGGGGGTGGCTGCAGGCTGGGGTGTGTGATTCCTGTGAGCTCAACCAGGCGCCAGACGCGCTTGTAGAAGGTGTGAAGTAAAGATGCCGTTGCCATCCCACAGCGAGTTTTTTCAGCTGTTAGAGAGCAGCCTGGGCTCGGAGCAGCCCCTTTCCTGCCGGCTCTGCCTCCGCTGGGGCAGGTGCTGCTGGTGAGATCGTTCAGAAAGAGATGAAGCCATTAACGGGCAAGCGGAGCCCAACCCCAAATTTCCTGCGGCTGGGAGAGCCTAGAGCAGGGCCTTGGGATCTGACACTCAGGCTTGTGCCTCGATCCCCCCACCCAGCACCGAGGGCCCCTCTGGGAGGGAGCAGCCCAAGCCGGTTAAACACTTGCCAAAAGGCCAGCTGGCCTGGGTTCAACCTGCCCGTGGCTACTGACCTGCAAGGGGTGGCAACAACCTCGGCATCCTGCTGGCACATGGAGCCAGGCCCTGGGGGCACTGATGTCACAAGGACAGACCTGGGGGGCTCCTCTGTCTGAGGTAGCCCCCCCCTCATAACACTGCTGGCTGCTGAGGTAGCCCAGGGCAAGCAGGGGTTCTACTGCGCTCCCTGAATGCTCCTGCTGGGCCATAATGGGGCACAGCAGGACCCCTCCACCCTGCGCTCCCCCAGCCGGGGGGGGGGACGAGCCCCCAGCATGGGGCTGCTTTAGGGGCAAAGCTCTTACCACTGAAACGTTGGGGTCACCCCTGAGAGGCGAAGCATCAGCCAGAGCCACCCAGAATTTCTCTGGCCGGGTGAAGTGCTGGGATTTAAACTAATTTCCAGCGTGCGGCTTCCCCCAGCACTGCGTGTCGCCGTCTGCACCGCGCTCCGCCCCCCCAGCACGGATTAGTGGTATTTATAGAAAACGCTCCCTTACAATTTTCCCCGATGAGGCCAATTCCTGCCTGTGAGGGGAAGCGTGGGAGACGCTACCGGACAGCCCGGCGCTGCCAGCCCAGCACCCCGACTCCCCTGTGTGCCCCATGGCTGGGGTCTGCCTGCTCCTGGCTTCGGTTGTGAGTGATTTATGGTTCGGGTTTTGGTTTTTTTTCCTCACACTATTTATCTCACGGCTGGGTTCCACTGTGCTGAGCCGGGAGTTTAGCAGGGGATGGTGACACTGCTGGAGTGTGGAGCAGCCCCCGGCGCTCGCTGCCTTGGCCCTGCCTGCAGGTAGGACCTAAACCAGCCTCCTCCTGCCTGGTCCATGCGCTCACCTCGAGGAGCCGAAGCAGAGCGGCTGCCGCCTCCTCCTCCTCCTCCTCCTCCTCCTCCCCATGCCTCCACTCCTGCCACATCCACATGGCTCCTGGGAGCCCCAGGATGATGGCAGGGGTCTGGCAGTGGCCACCCACAGGGGCTGGGCCACTAGCCCTTGGCCCTACATGGGCCCGCATCGGTGGGAGATGTGAGTGGCCGGTGGAGCGTGGGAGGGAGCCAGACATGTCCCCGTGGGGCCGGTTTCCCGCTGCTGCGCTCCCTCCCTCGGCAATCGGGGTTTTCCTCTTCCAGAGCCGATTCCTCCCCGGCCTCTTTACTTCGGTCACGGGGAGCCAAACCCCACCCCACTCCTCTGCCCCCAGCCCGGTCTGTATCCTGCCCGCGGGGAGTGATACGGGATGAAATGACACTAAATTAAACCAACCCCCTCCTATGTGAGTATTTATTGGTTTGGGGTGGCTGCCTGGAGCCCAGCACCCGGCTCCCCTGCGGGGAGGGGGCACAGAGCCCCCCCCGCGCTCCCTCGCTGTTCCCTGGGGCCGGCGGAGGGCGGTGGGTGGCCACCCCGGTGCTATTTGGAGGTGGGGGGGCCCTGGCTGAGCTGCAGCAGGGAGTTGGTGGCATAATTCTGGAAGAGGGGCTGGAGGAACATGCCAACGGTGCCGAAGACGCAGACAAAGACGAAGATCCACAAGAAGAGGCGGTCGATGACCATGGCCACGTACTTCCAGTCCTCGCTCACCTGTGTGGGGCCGGGAGAGAGGCCGGGTCAGGCCGGGGGCCTCCAGCATCACCCGGGGCCGTTCCAGTGAACCCCAGATGTGCTCCCTCAGCACCGCAGCTCCCGGGGCTGCCTGCCGGCCTGCCGCGGGGCTCACTCCCCGCCACTGCCACCCGTGTTGCTGAGCCCCAGGAAGCTCATCTCCCCAGTGATGGGGGGAGAGGGGGCCCCTGGTCCTGCAGCTCCGTCCGGGCTCAGATCTGGCAAAACCTGAAGCTTCCCAGGGCCACGCAGGGTCAGGCCTCCCAGTGTCCCAGAGAGGCTGCAGCAGCGGGTCAGGGGTCAGAGCTGAGCCCCCGCACCAGGCAGGGAGTGTGTGGGGTGTCCCTGGGCACGGGTCCGGGCAGGGACCCCCCTGGTGCTTGTGCACGTCCCTTCCTGTGGTGCAATCGTGCACCAGCACATGCTCTGCCCGCACCCTGCAGCCCTGCCCGCACCCCGCAGCCTTGCCTGCACCCCACAGCCCTGCCCACACCCCACAGCCCTGCCCACACCCCACATCCCTGCCCGCACCACGCAGCCCTGCCCGCACCACGCAGCCCTGCCCGCATCCCACAGCCCTGCCC